TAGGTTCACGAAACGGTCGTCCATAAAATGCATTGCTGTTCTGTTGTAAGTAATCTTAAAGATTCCTAAATGCATGTACTTTCGGATGGCCAAATAAAGTGCTTTTGCTTTCGCTTAGAAACACACACCGTCTCCCTGACATGGGTGCTACTAACTGCGGTTACTGAAACCACGCCTTCTTTCTTTGCGTGAACATTTGGGCGGCATTACGCAAATATTTCCACATAGTGAGGTAGATATGTGGGGGCGTGTTAGAACGAGCCGTTTTAGGGGGGTGTGGCAGAGTCTTAACTTTGATAAAGAATATCTCTTTGGTTTTGAGACTTTAGTTTTTGCAACTTCAGGGATCTTATCTATGCACAATCAGCTTGTAACACTCCAACGAGAAAGCAAAACTTGAAATCGCATCATATGACCCCTTTAAATAAGAGAAGTTAAACAAGAATTAGATCGTGCTGTGTAAAAGTGTTGTGTAAAAACAATAGTCAGGTCATTGGCGCCCTCTGCAGGCATTTGATATAATACATAATGTACATAAGTTATTATTATATTGTTTTATTACATTATGTATTTTAACTGTTTTGTTCAATAAAACCATATGATTACTTGCTTTTGATATTTTTTATCTGAAACAATTATTATTGCCTTATTGCTATTATTTTAAGTCGTTTTAAAGTCTATTGTTTGCTTAGGTTTATCATCAGAATAATCGAGTGATTATTCTATTACCAAAATAATTGTTAGTGACAGCTCTATTCATTACTGTACTTAAATGATACCTTTACTATGATACATTCTTCCAGACCATTTAATTAAATGTGTGACTGTTAACAACAACAAAAACACCTGGAATTGCTAGTGTCGTCTCACATAGCCAAACCTTTGAGTTACGCCATAAAGTCTGAGCTCTCTCCGTTAGCGACCAATCACAGTTTGTTTTGTTCAACGAACGTAGAAACATTGGTTGTTCATTCAAGATCGGCATGCAAATTAAAGCAAATAAAAAAACAGGTGAATCAAACACAAATCTGACGTGATGAGCTTAGCGATGCACATTTCCCAACTGACAACTGTTAACTTGTAAGATTAGAATATTAAATTAGTATTAAATAAAAACAGAATGGGCAAATGTCTGTGACCCATAAAAAATACAAACACATATACATATTTAATGGGTTTATTTTAACATGTGCAAACAGCAGCATACAGAATAACAGAGCAACAGCAAAACCTGGATTCACGCATTGTCAAATTATCACGTGGATGCAGCTCTTCTGAGATCAGAGAAAAACAGAATAAAATAATTTAAATAAAAAAATAAGGATACACTAAATATTTTCACTTAATTTGCAAATTAAGTTGACAAAATGAAAACACATACCATATCTGTCTACCTGAGCTGCTGTATTTTATTATGCCTTTTATACAGCATTGCATCTTCACATAGAATACAGAAGGAGAACAGGCTCTTCACTTGACAGTATGTGTGTTTCCAGGTGCTGATGGCACAAAAGAAGAGACAACGAGATCAGAGATGGAGAAAGGTGAAAGTGAACGGTCCATTATTGTTGAAGATACTGCTATAAGTCAAGCGATTGGAGGGCCACGTGGGGCTGATGGGAGAATCAGAGACAGACAGGGCAAGAGCCTTGTAGTCCGTAACACCGGTACTGAACATACTGGAGTTTGTACACATGGTGAGTAGTTGTCTTTTATTTAATCTTTATCCACTGTCTGCGCTATTTATAGAAGTCCAGCCGTACAGTGACAAACAGGAAAATAATATTTCAACAAATCGACAGAATTCAATTCTGCTGTAAAGTAGCTCTAAAAAAGAAAGAGAGTGTTTATTCACTCTTAAGTGCACATATCCGAGGCAATTAATTTTAATGCGATTGACCAGAGTTCGAATCCACCTTTTGCCAAACTTGTTCTTTTCCTTGTCCCATCACATATCAGATCGGAAAGGCATTTATTTTCAATTAATAATAAAGTGTTTATCGGGTAGGTGTAGGGAGGGCTTTATTGTCCCAATAAAGCGTTATCCATTTAATAATTGTAATAAAAATAATTTACACTCAATGTTATTGCATACTGTTTTATAATGTACTACAATACTGAGGTATAAATATCTGCCACTTTGCTAAAGAAAATACTGCTAT